GACATAACAGGTTACCGCTACTGTGTATTCCAAAAACATTGTGCGTCTTTCGGTATTAATTTATCTCAAAACCCAGCATTTTAATTTCTCAGAAACGATCATTGCGTAAAAATTGTGGGCCGGGACTAAGATTTTTGAATGATCGATGCGATAAAACGATAGAAGCGGGAAAATGTAACATTATTTTATATGTTATGTATCCGGGACCGAACAAAACGGACGATGCATCCGGGAAAACGATAGTTCCGGGAACGATGGATAGAGGTTTCACTGTATACTTTAAGATATCTGGCTGCGGGCAGCTACTAATTTCAGCTCCCCAAAGTCCAAGAAATCCCTTCACACACTTGACCCAGCATACGCTAGTTAACCGTTGTCATTCAAGTGGCAGCAAATAATTTTCATTGTTTGTGTAATGTACTGTCCCTGTATGCAACTGTATAAGGATACAAGAGAGATAATAGATTGCCTCATCTCTTTACATGGAAATAAAAAAATTCAGCTTTCTAAACACGACAACTGAATGACACTCCAAAATTAGAATATATTTTTTTTTTAATTATGTGAGTGCTGCAATGACCAGTCAGTAGTATTTGATAGAACAGGATAGTATTCTTAAAACTTGTATGCTTTAATTTTTTCCTCAATGTAACAGGAACAGTTGTTTACTTTGAAGTTGGTAAACATTTAAACATTTATGTGTTGTATATAATGCTGTGAATATTTGACCAAACACTAGGGCTTAAATAATAGCTTGGTCTGTTACTTCAACATTTATCATAACTAATAACCATTTTTGTTGATTTTTTTCCTAGGTGTGCACCCTAACTGAATTCCTCTTAGATGCAGTATCGTTAGAAACATACATGGACACACCCAGTGAACATCTCCCAGGATTATTCCTTCATGTAGTAACACAGTTAACACTATATTGTGATGCATTGTTGCCTCAAGAGGTTGCCCGAAGTCTTCAACTTTGTGCCAAAGTTCTTTCCAGAGTCCAGCCATCAGCATTAGTCAACCAGCAAGATAGTGCAAAAATTTCTGCCCTTGATCATTCAGAAGAGAAGATTAAATGTAACATACAATCTGATATTGCCAAAAGCTGTAGTGACGTGTCAAGTGGGCAGTTAAATTGTAGTAGAGCTAACAGTGACTTTTCAGAAAGTAGCAAAACAGATAAAGGCAAAACTGAAACAAAGAAGTCATCTTCCAAAATGAAAAAATCTCACAGTGCCAAATTTCGAACTAAGCATTCTAAGACCTCCCTCAGTAATTATTCCGTAAGTAGTCCAGTTTTGTTATCTGTAGTGAGGAATGATGGCATGGAGAGAAATCTTACTGAAGATTTACATGCAGAGGTCATAACAAAGAGTGCTGAGGCTATCAGTTCAGAATTCATGTCTCATATGGGGAGAGAGAGTCCAGATATTGGAAGTAGAAGTGCTGGACCTTCTATAGAGTGTGGATTGAACCAAATGGACAGCAGTTTAAGTGGACGTGGTTCATCATCCAATAAACCATTGGTTGTCCCAGAATTCCAGGTTCCAAGCAAGCAGCAGTCCATGCTTGAACAAAGCCTAAGACAATATGAAAAGTTCTATGTCAAATTTGTCGGTGGGCGGCATGTTATAAGTGGCAGAAAAATATGCGAACTTTTTCAGGAGTTGCTAGTCATTCTTCCTTGTGAAACTACTGAGATACGTGCAGCAAAACTTGAAAATTTGTTGTATAGGTGTTTAAATCCTGGTAAAGAAGACATTTCTTATTTACATGACTCTTTACATTCATCGTCCAGGTGCACAAGCTTAAAGACTAACAGTTATGAAATGTGGGTTAATCTAAACTCAGTGACTGTGTGTCAGAGTGAGCAGTGGGAGGAGCCAGTGAAAGTTGCTTCAAGCCTTCTAGTCGAATTGTCTACTTTTCCAACGTATTGCCTTCCAGGAGGGTCATCACTGGTCGCAGATGAACCTATGGAGCTTACGTCATTTCCCGAGTGGCTACAAGTATTAGTTGTGTGTGCATGTTGGCTAAGCAGTGCACCAGCACTCCAGTTAGTTGCAATATCGACACTTCTAGACCTGATCTCTCTCTTGCGATCACAGTGTGAGAGTGCAGGAGTCTCTGAGAGTGAACACCAAGGTGTTGTAGCTGTTGTTATGGTGCCTCTCCTAAAACCATGGCATGTTCAGTATTTAGAACATCATACAAATGTAGTTCCAGTACTGGTGCATTCTCTGTGGCACCATCTTGGCCAATTGAGCTCAGAGCACAAGGTCTCTTGTGTTGAACTGTTACATCAGTTACATAATGTGTTACCCAGTAATGATGCTGTTGAAAATATCATAGGTCAGTCTTTGACAGACGAAAATATTGAACGCAGAGTAGATGCTTTTCAGAGGTTTACTCTTCTTTGGCATATTGGGCGGGAAGTTGAAACCAAAGCGGGAATAAATAGGAATTTGCGAACTTTTGACAAGTCACTCCTGAAGATGTTAGATAATCTTCAGTTAGCTGAAAGCTGCCCTCTAAAATTGCAGGCACAATCATGGTTACTGCATTCCCTCCTTCGTGGAGATATATCACGATTGGTGGATCCTCTTCTTCTTATGTTGTTGGACCCTGTCACAGCTCGAATGAGTGTTCTTCATGTGAACATTGAACATTCAAACACTGTTCTCACGTGTGCTGTGAAAGATGCAGAAAGTGGAGACAATCCAGATGAGATTTCAGCTACAGCAAAGATCTATGCAATTAGTTCTGTTGATGGAAATGTAATCTATCATGTTTCTGACTCCACCGATCAGAGAAAGATGAAAGATCGTAAAGAGGAAAGGAGAAAAGTGACAAGTAATCCTGTGAGGGCTAAACGAATATTTGCTGTAACAACACTTGTTGGGGGAGGAAAAAGAGAGAACCATTATATAACTGAGAAGAATTCATATGTTAAGGAACATGAAAATGCTCTTTCTTTAACCAAGCCTCAGGTACAAAATATATCAGTATTTGTAAATCCTTTTTCATCTAATACAACCAACAGCAATACTTCTAATGATTCTGCAACCGAAGATGATTCGATGCACTTCAGTAATGGGGAAGTTGTAACAGCACATAAATATATTCGTAATGCAACTAGGTTCCATCAGAGTGAAATTGGGAGGGAAGAAAAACCAGCTGACATTTTAGATTCAAGTAGCAGGAAGGGGTCCAATCCAGAGTTTGTGGAATGTGTCTCAAAACTTGAAACAGTTGATCAGAGACTTGCAACAGGATATGAAGAGAGTGTCAGTGGTGGAAATTTGTCATCCAATAGTAATATGAATGATGGACTTGAAGTGGTTCGTGGAGATTTGCGGAGATGGTCTGTGGGGGATGAGGAAATGCTTGGAGATCTGGAAGAATCTACAACGGCTGAGGAGTTCTTTGGAAATGGGAGTCCCTGCAGTGGTGATTCCTCAAGTGTCAATGTCGTGGAAGAGATATTGCATGATGTGCTTCACATGGTGGTCAGTCAAAGTGCTGAGGGCAGTCAGGTGAGTAATTTTAGCAGAAATATGTTTGGTTAACTAAGTAGTATTACATTTATATTTAAGTAATTGTCAACATTTGTTCTTATCTTCTTTTGGACAATTTATATGCAGGCCATAGTCTGAAGAAAATAATATTTAATTAGTTTCAGAAGAAAAAAACATGTAAAATTTACATTACCTTCAGTAGACTTTGAAGTTATGGTTCTGCGTAGCTAACTATAGGATGCAAAGCAATTCTATACAGAGTATAGAAGTCTTTGTTTTTATCTTGATGTTTCTTTTGAGGGGAGAAAGGATATTAATTTACATATTAATCAGATTTTAAGGTGCATAATCTCAGTCTCCAGTAGTTGAAAAATGGTTTCTTCGGATTTGGTGAAAGGCAGAATACTACAGAAGATAGAAGAATAAACCCTTGTAACATACCTGACTTTTATATGCAGAAATATGAAATATTCAGTCCATTCTATTTCATAGTCAGTTCCTGTACTGACTGAGCTATTTCAGCTTCTCAGTGTTTGTAGTCAGTATTTTAAAAGATATGTGAACTTGGAATGAATTGGATTAGAATAGAGTTCATTTATTTTTTCCAAATGTGTTCATTCACATTGTTGTGTAAGTAATCGTCAGTCATAGTGTTTTTTTTTCTAGGTTAAAAGTGAGAATAAGCAACGTTTTGATATGAAATCACCTGGCAAGCAACCAATGGGAGTTGGAGTTCATCAGTTGCATTCACACATGCTACTCTACTGTGGTGTTTATGATTCGAATCGGACATTATATGCTCTCAGTTCACTTCGTAGCATCTTGCTGACAAATGCTCGTATATTCCTGTGTGCTGCTGCTGCCACAGGACTTGCTAATGTTGCCAGAAGCTCTGATCTTCTTGTGCTACTTGCTAGACATCGCAAGTCAGTCTTTGGTAGAAGCTTCCATGGTGATATTGCTGCCTCAAGTGGAGAGTTTGGAGCAACATATCGAAGCAGCATGTACCTGGAGGTTTTGATCTCTGTGTGTTTGTATTTTGCCAGGAGCTACTATCCTAATTTGGGACAGATGAGACTCACTCAAGAGGAAATTGCAGGAAATAGACAGGTATTTTATTGCACCGCAGCTGTATCAATTATTGCCCATAGTCTGAGATACAGTTAGTATTTATTTTGTTAATTGCCTGTACTCCTGTCTTCAATTTTATGGTTCTCATTACATTGGTATATAATTTTATTTATGATATAAGTGGCAGGAATTCAGATTGATCTTGTACTCTTTGAACAATAAACTTTGTTAACCATTATTTTAGCGAATTAACAGTGTTGAAGGTAATAGCAGTATTATGAATCAACCTTCATTTTATACCTTAATGAATTATAAGATATTTTGTTAGCTTCTGATCTCAGTTTTGTTTTTATCTTTTTTTAACATTTTTGCAGTCTGTTAATTTATGTTCTGCATGCTTCTAAAGTTTTGATTCCAGTTCCTTGAATAACCTTCTTTGACATGAATGTATCGCACTTTGTCTATCGAAGGCAGTGTCATCATACCTTATGTAGGCAACCATACAGATGTTAATTTGTGTATGTTTGATGAGATGTTGGGTATGGTATTCCTACTTACTGGTGTTTTACGTGTAACAATTTCATACCAATCTTCATGAAACCAGAGACATTTATATTCGTAAATAATATCAATATAAACTGCCTTTCATCTAATATACTGCTGTGTGATGGAATCTGTTATAAGTAGTCCCAATTAAAGAGAAAGCAAAGTGTGTGTTATTTATGTTAATCTCTCGTAAACATAGCATGATTGAATACATTTCATCTCCTGTTATGGTGGTAGCAGTACTGCAATGTCATCTGCTTTACCTTGCTGTGGGTGAAGTGCCTGCCATCTGTGAAGTAAGACCACCAAAGAAAATAGTATCCAGTTGAATTAATTTGATGTGCTCTATACTCCTTTAAAGCATATGGATATTTTTTTTGTTTTAAGTATTGGATTCTGAATATTTTTTATGGTGTGCTATTTGTAATGCCCCATATAATAAAGTTGTGGAAAAGAATGTAGAAATCATTTGCTTTTTTCACTTGCTTATTGTGTGTCATTATTCCATGTTATATTTTTTACCAACTAATGCAATTTTGAGATATTCATTTGTTTTTTAGTGTTGTATGTCAACAATGAGATTTTGTATTGTGCATTATTTTATTAATATGTGGCTGATTGTTGTATTTGTTCTCCATTTAAAGGTACAGCTTGCAAGTGCCGAGATTCTAATGCTTATCTGCTCTGAGTTAATTTACATAGTTCGAGACAGTGGCAAAGGATTTGCTTGTTACATAGCTGATTTACTGTCTCGATGCAAGGTACAAAAGGTGGTTCTTCATTGTGTTCTCTCCAGTGTTTATAACATGAAGTCCATTGCAAATAGTCAAGAAGTTCAGTCTCTTAAGGTATGTATTGAAAAACCATGCTCGATTTATTGAATTTTATTTGTGAAATGCTTTGTTTGATTCTTCACGTACTCACTTGGACAAACATATTGTGTGTTTACATTTATGTTTCCCTGCCAATATAATAATATTTTGTGCACAGTTGTAGAGTATCTGTCAGTTTTCAGTGAAATACTGTAATGAGTAAAAAGCAACAGACTCACAGTATAAAGTGTAAATAATAATGTTGATTATAGTACAAAACTCAATAGTTTTTGTTGTGCTTACTTAAACAAAATTTGTTGCTTGTTTTCATTTGCCTGTTTCAACCTGCTTTTAATTGCAGTCATTCTCAGCTGAAGATCTACCACAACAGAGGACCTTCACAGAGGAAATAGTATACTTCAATGATCCTGTAGTAGAAGGAAATGAAAATGCTGGGAGATGTAAATACCGAGGTTCAGATCATTCTGAAGGTTTTCAAATTCAATTGCTTAGGTAGGAATGGGAACTTTGTTTTCAATTAAGGACAATAAGCAGGGATATGCAGGCTTTTCAGTATTGAGGAAACCTAATACTCTTGCTGGTCAGGACAGAGACAGTATATGGAAACTATTAATATTTGCAGTTGAATATAACTTTTTTTAACATAAAGTTTACACCACTCATTTGTATCCTGAGCACTGCTCATGTTTCACTGTCCATAGTTTTCCCATCCTAAATATTAGGTGTGCTCTATGAAGTGCTCAAAACTAAAGAAAAACATATATTACTATAAAAAATTCATTCCATTGTTTCACAGGCTAAGGATTATAATACAAAATGTGATTGGTGTTGGCTGAATAATTTATTTTATACAATGTTTTTATGAAAGTAGTCTTGATGAAACAAATTGTAAATATTCTTGGAATTTCTCTTGTGTAGATAAAGCAATATAATAGTTGTTGAATTGTGTTTCTATTTCCAGACTTCTCTTAGCACTGATAATGCTTGAACACCAAGTAAACTCTCAAAAAGGTGATGGTGAAACACCTACAGCAAGCAAAGAGGTGGATCTGACTTCACTGAGCAAATTTCCTGCAAATCAGTTCAAGTACATTGCTGGTCATGTGATTCCACAGCAACCAATGTTCCTTGCAGCCATCCTTAGTGCTCTTCAGCAGGTCTGTTGATGTTCCTGTTTACATTTTCTGTATAGAAGAATTAAAGTTGTGTCATTCTCTTCATTTGCTTGTTTGTTTTATTTCTTGGTAAAGATATTATATACGAAAAGTGGTAAATATTGCAAGCAGGTTTTAGCAACATTGTTGGTATTGGCATTTATATGTGTTTATCCATAGGCTATTTAGTGCTGCCATATTTGCTGCAATGTTATAATGCGAGTTATTTTCATCTCTGATACTACGAAGTTCAAAGCCAACAATCTTTGAATGTGATAAGTTTGATTGCTCTTGTGAAGTGTATAATAGTAAAAACAGTAATTGCATCAAAATATGAACATTGTTGTGCTTTGAAAGTTGTCATAATCAAATAAATATTCTGTTGGCTCTGCCAGTGTCCAAAAAAATTAATATTTGAAGGAGGTGATGACCGAAAGAAAGTAATATCAAAATCAATGAATGGACTGTATGTTAATTCATTGATCTATCCTAACTAGCTAGCCGGTGAAGGAAGCAGTAATGTTATAAATGTTTAATTGTAAAGATCTGTGGGTTTTTTCCCACTAGGACCACACAAGACATTTACACCAGCACTGGACAACTCTGGTTACATCTGCACTTCCTTTCATGGCCCAGTCCCTTACACATGTAGTGATGAGTGTGGTGAATCAATTATGCTGCAATGTGGAGAAAATGTCGGCAGTTTACAGAACTTCTAGTAGTTCATGGTAATTGTTATAATTTTTTTATCCATATGTATAATTCATTAGCATTTGTTTATTGTTCTGTGTATATTTTGAGTGGTGTGTAAGGCAGGAGCTTGCAAAGATCAGAAGTGCTTGCATTGTTTTGTACATTTAAAGTTGAAAGTAGTGATTTTTATTTGTCAGCATCTCACATCTCGCTGTGATCTTTTATCTTCCCATTTTTTCCTCAGTCTTCCAAGTTTACATTTTCCAAGAGGTTTACCCACCAAAATTCTCTATGAAATTCCTGTATGTGCTTCCAAGTTACATGCCCCACCCATCTTAGTCTTGCTGCCGTAACCATGCGAGGTAATCTGTATAAATAACTTTGTTTCTCATTATGCAATATCATAATACTTGTCACACATAGATCTAAATATTATCTTGAAGACAAACATTTGTAATTTTTTTCTTCCTGAATGTGTAATATGTTACACACACTCATACAGTAATGAGAAAACTTATTACCATATTTTATATTTCCTAATTTGCATTGTTTTGGAAACAGGTGGCTACAGCAGCTTTTGATATTGGATCCAAACTTAATGTTTCCTTAATTTCATTCTTCCAAGATTTGTACTTTGTTAAGCATTTTCAAATTGTCTGTTGCAAATATACTTTCCCAGCGAGATATAAGTGTATCTCATTGAAATTGTTGCAGCACCCCAGTGGCATTGTGCTGTCTGCCAGCAGACTACATGGTGACACAGCTGGAAGCTCTGACTGTGCTTTGCCACTATTGCCTGCTGGATAGCACTCAGCAGCTGTCCCATGCTTTCAGTCAACAGATGTTGGTTGGTTCTGGAACTATGTATATGGGCATACCTGGAGCAAATCCTGGCCAGATATTTAATAACCTGATACATGTGTTCATGCCAACACCATTACAGCAGGTTTGTTGTTTCAGATGATGGCTGTATAACTTTTTGACTTGTTTTGTGGAATATTACACATGGAGTCACTTTGTGTAGCTCCTAATAAGTTCTGAAGTTTTATTTTCACAAAACTTTATAGGAATGTCAAGGAGATCATTGTCTTCCACTTTATTTTTATCAGGCAAGGCATAATCTTATGATGAAGCATCATCCGTTCTTTTTGATCCATCCTAACCATTTCTCTTGTGTCTGTGTTCATGCTTTTGTGAAATGCGTAGTGGTATTAGATTGTGAACAAGTTTACGAATTTTATATGATATTGTTTTGGAACCAGTACTGGAGTCAGTACCATTATTTTTAATTGCAAACAAGAATACATTGTTTTCTTGTCATGTGACAACTTTGCTATCATTCATTGATTATGACATCTTAGTCATTGACTGTAATGAAAGTGTGAGATTTTAGGTTCTCACAGTAGTTGTTATAAATGGAAGATGTTGAATAGATGACTCCAACTCACATTTGAGAAGTGACTGGTTACAATCTGTTCTTGGGAACCAGCTATCCCAATTATTTTTGTGTTTCCCCTCACTCTCTATAAACAATTCTTGGATAGTGTATAAATAAACCATTGCTGCTTCCTTTTACATCCCTCCTGATTTGATATTCAGTCATCCTACTGCATATCTATCAGCACTATGTAACCTCTGCGGTATATACAGCAACTTAAAATAGTTGAATAACCAACCAAATGTTGGTGATTGTCTTCTGGGTTGTCATACCATGTGGACTTCAACCCTGAAGATGGAGGCAGTATATTCCTACAACGTTGGTACTCACCTAGATTATGTGGTGCCATAACCTAGAAGACCATTATTGACATCTTTATTGCCACGAGGACCTAAAATCTCATAACCAACCAAATGTTGGACATGTTACATGGAACTACTTTGTATGTAGAGGAAAATGTATCTTGTCAGTATAAATTGTTTTAACTTCACATATTTTTGTCTGTTAGGATCCAGTCCCCAAAGAGAAGCTTGGTCAGTTTGATCCCCACGTTACAGCAAGGAGGACAGTTCTTAGCAACATGCCTCGTATCATTGCCAGTGTATCAGTGCTGTGGCAGGCTGTTATAGCTGGAAATGAGTGGTAAATATGTTACATGAATTTCATTCTGTATTTCTCTTACCATGTATTTGTTGCGAGTTCCTGAGTATAAATTAATTCAGTTAATTTATTTGTAATTGTTTGTAGTTAAATAAGGGGGACAAGAATCCGAATGATTAAACAACTGAGGATATGGGTCATTTGTAATATGGTTGAATACTGATTGATTTATTTAATTAAAATATGAACATTCTTTAGTTAGGCTCATTTCTTAATTAGTAAAATACAGGATGATTCAAAAGTCAGGACACCCTGGCTGTAAAATTGTATCAACATGGAATGTGACCATTTTGAATTCTTAAAGTAAAATACTTTTTATGCATATGCTTGTAAAGACATTAACAAGGCCAGACATGAAAAGTTATTAAGTAAGTATTAGTAAATTGTAAGTAAAAACATGTTCATATGTGTTTTTCTTTTCATGTATATCTTGACTTTTGAACCAGTTTGTATATTGATGCTCAACATGATACAGAATAAGTGGAGGGTAGCAAAGAAAGAATTGTGGGACATAAATAAAGATAGAACATAAGAATCATATTGTTCCGTCAACAGGGAACATCAGCGTTGTGCACTGGGAAGTCCTCGTGTTGTGAAGCACCATCTACTTGAATTCTTCAGTCCTATTTCTCTTCATCATGGCATCAACTTCCTGGCTGCAATTGCTGTTGCTTGGCAAGAACGGAAAGGACAACTTTCCCTAGTTGCTAGAAAGGTTAGTTAGTATTGACAATTGTAAGATTTTTACTCCATTGATTTTTAAACTGCCAAATATATTCTGTAACTGTGTAATTGCAGGTGGTTCCTACAGCCAGTCCTGATCAGCAAGTGTTGGTGTACCTAGTAGCAGCAATTCGTGTCATGCCTATTGACACACTTGTTCAGACCGTTCATCAGGTTGTAAAACAGCCACCCCCAATACAAGGAGCCAAGAAGGTTGGTAACCATGTTATAATATAAGATTTAAAACTTATAAGATAGTTGAATACTATAAAATCTCAGGTGATCGGCCATGTAAGTAGTGTGTTAAAGACCAACATTGGTTCTTAACTCACCATTGACTGGCTGATCACCCAATACGATTTTATAGGAGTCATGTTATAATGATCAATAATGTGCTTTTGGTATTGGCTCACAAAATTGTTTTAAATTCCATCTATAGAAAAAAATGGATGTGGGTATTTTTCTTTACTGCTAGACATGCTCATCACCATATTGCCCCGAGTTTGGATTTCTGGTGAAGTCAGGTCTGTTACACAAATGGAATACTTTGGAAGGTGAATTCTGAGATATGATTTTCATGATTACATGTGTTATATTCCTCTAATCCAGAAGGTACAGATAGTAGTGCTCTGAGTAAACAAGAGGACTTTGTTTTCTTTGATGAAATTGGCCAAAAAGAAGGCTGGTATAGTGATAGAAGTCCTTTCTGTTCCGTAACAAGGGACAGTTTGAAGATGACTGCCTTTTGGGATGTTGTAAGAAGTGTTAGTTTATTTTAAAGGAAATGATTTTGCAGGACTTGACTCTAGAAGTGAGCATTCTGGAGCTGTTCTATTGCTACATGCAGACCTGTTCAGGCCCACAGCTTGCTGAAAGCTGGGGCTCACTTATTGGACTGCTGAGGGATGGACTTACCCTCACACCTCCAGCTCAATTTCTCAGTCTTGCCATCCTCAATGAATTTGTTCAGAAGTGCTGTCCACTTGCTGAGAAGAAAGACATGAGAGACCTACAGGATATAACAGCAAAGGTTTGAGTTAGAGAATATTTTTATTCACATTGGTGTTTGCTGTATTTACTGCCATTGTTCTTGAGTCCTGATGCATTTCTTGCAATATTTGTATGTGCAGTTATGACCTTTTTTTCTTGTGAAGTAGCCTCTAAATCCCCGCAGTTTACATCCTCAGCATTTACAATGGCATGTAACACAGAAGATGAAAGAATTTCATAATTTAAACATTTGTGATATGTAGAGTATTGTGTACTGAAGTACATGTAGTTCCCACTGTGGTTTAAAGATAGACAGATAGATAGTTCATGTAACTCCTAAGTGGAGCATAGGGCCTCCTTTCAGAGGTTTCATAGTCTTTAAAGCGTGCATTTAAGAGTAGTGAGTGACTAGCCCACTGACTCTGCACAAATTCTACTCACTCCTGATTTTGACTGCCAGAGCCATCTAGCAGTGAAGCAGTGAATCAGGAGAGACTTTGGTGAGAAATGGCCACTGAATTTTGCTTACGAAACATCTCGTATCATGCTCGCAAGGTTCTTTTACATGCCGTAAATCTATGACATGGGACCGCCGGCTTTACTTCCCCTCTGAAGGAAGTTGTGCTACGGATTTTTATCACCCTTTAAAATCCATCGACCTCAGCCAGGATTGAACCCGCGAACCAGTGGCGAGCATGCTAACCACTAGTCCACCGAGGGTAACACTGTGGTTTAAAGGGCTGAAGTATTTTCTCATCAGATGACATGTTTTTCATATAAGGATTGAAAATTGTAAATATGGTAGCTTGATTGTCTTACATGGGATAGGTGTGTGTGTGTGTTTCTTGAAGAAACTGTTACCTAGCTTGTTTCTGTTTATTCTTTCACAGCTTGTGGAATCCTGTTCACAAATTGCTGGAGCTTGCTTAGAACAGACAACGTGGTTGAGACGTAACTTGGCCGTGAGAGAAGAGGAACCTGCCATAACTTCAGGAACTAAAGATAAAGAAGGATCAGGTGGGTTTATTTCCTCAAGCTAAGGTGTGACTTGTGAGCATAATATCCACTAATTAAATGAGTTAAATTGCAAGTGAAAAATGTTTGGATTGAGGATCGCCATTTTCGTTTATGTATATGATAAGGTGAAAGATAAGCATCAAAGTAACTGTTTCAGTAAAAATAAGTGATATGTGCAACAAAATATTCAAATGAGTTTGAACTTGAACTTTTAACCTTAAAAGTACAAAAGATTGGAGATACAGGAAGTGATCATAGATGAAAAATAAAATAAATTGGCACCTGTTAGAATATTCAATGTGACCAGTCCAAACATGAATAATTGGTGATTTCAAATTTAATTAAATTATGTTAAAACTTGTTTGATCTCTGTATTGCAGAAATGTATGTGCAGAGAAATACTTTTTAGATATGTGATATACCCTTTTCCCTTTTTTATTCAGGAGTTTCATGCTTGTCGACAGCACAGTATAGTGTGCAAGCTCAGGCAGTTCTGGCAGAATTGCTAGCACCGCTCCTAGATGTCAGCTACGGTAGCCAGGAAAAAGAAAGGGTTGTAGCATTGCTCACAGCTTTGATGTACAACATTACGCCATATCTTAAGAATCACACGTAAGGGTTAAACTGTACATTTAATCTACATGAAGTAATATATTGTGGAAAATGCATAAAGTTGTGGTATTTTTGGCCTTGCTACCCTTTGCCCAACTGGCAAACTGAAATAATCCCTTTATGTTTTGGAGTATTTGTGTGAGGTGTATTGAGTCTCATATTGAACAGAAAGAAATAAAATCTGGGGAGATACAAGTAGTGACTTTAGATCTTTGTGCTTCATATACTTTACCCTTTTAAGGCGTGAGTTAATATTTTTTGAGTCATGACTACCAGACTGAAATGTAACTCTTGTCTGTTTAATAAACATAGTTCCCTAGATAGTGTAATCTTTTTGTTATTAGTATACTCATAATCCATGTTTATTGTGTATAAAATTTCATTTTCTTGCAAGAAAATTTGTCTGTTAATAATATGAACTTAGATCATTCTGCGTATTGTTTTTGTTTTGGGCAAAATGAATTTCCAGTTACTTTTAGATAAAAATCAGAATGATACAAATTTTCATGTAATAAGCAAACTGGAACCAGTGGAATCCCATACCTGAAAGTTATTTATTTTCTAGTTTGAATAATCCTTTGACTTGATTGTGCCTTTCTTATTATTTTCCAGTTGAAACAGTTTTTATTTCTATTGTGTAATGTATTTATATGTATTATTTCTTTGTTGCAGTCGTCGCAACATACCTAGTTTTCATGCATGTTCGCAGCTACTGGCAAGCTTGAGTAGTTACCAGTACACTCGTAAAGCATGGCGTAGAGACGTTTTTGACTTACTTCTTGATCCAGCTTTATTCCAAATGGAAGCCAACTGTCTTCCATATTGGAAAACAATTGTGGACAACTTGATGACACATGATAATACAACATTCAGAGACCTAATGAGTAAGTACATCTCTTCTTTAATAACGCGTAGGATGTCGACTTTTTCCTCCACTCATTTATAACCTGCATTTATCATTACTTTTATTAGATAATTATTTGCTAGGTTGTGAAACGTTTTGAGAAGTAAAAATGTAATTATACTGTTTTTAGAGGCATTAATGTTATAAATGTGTATCACTGCAAGGAAACACAGAATCTTGTGTTTACAGATGTTGGAAATGCATTGTGCTCTTAAGTTGGGCACTGCAGCTGTGTGTGTATGAAGCTGAAGGCCATATCCAAACTTATAGCAATTTGTCTGTAACCTTTTCCTTCCAAAGTGCTGAAATTAAAATTATACAGAATACTGCAGAATCTGTGGTCCAAGTTAGAAGTGTTAGCATCTAGTTTTTATTATATTATTTACCTGATTATTGTCATGCAGTACAGTAGTTTCAGGAATATTGTGCTTTTTTTAAAATGTATTTTTGAACTATAATTGTAATTACGCATTTATTCCTGCAGGTCGAGTGTCTGTGGCTCAGAGTGGTTCTCTAAGCATCTTCTCCAGTCGAGAACAGGAATATGAACAGAGAGCACAGTTACTAAAGAGGCTTGCTTTTGTTATTCTTTGTAGTGAAACTGATCAGTATCACAAGTATATGCCTGAAATACAAGGTGAGTTAATGTCATTCTGAAGTTTTATGACCATGCATATTAGTCTTTATTAGTATAAAATAATAATATTACAAATAATTGTCCATTATATTATTATCTGTGGTAGACTCGTTTAGTGCTTAGCCTCCATGTTAAGTTGTTGCTATTCCTATATAATTCTGTTTTTCTCAGCTGCTTCTGTGCCTAGTGATGAAGATGACTGCCTAATATTCTCTTCAGAGTTTGTTCCTCCCTTTATTCTTAAACCAAAGACAGAACAGTGAAATTTATAATTGGTATAATTGTAATAATGACTATGAATAATGTCCAAATAAATTATCATAGTAATGTGAAATAATGATAAGGTTTGTGTTTTTAACAGATATATAGTTTTTTAAACTCATTTAACTTGGGGCGTACTTGGTTACAGTGATTGCTAGTGTGATTAAACCTTCCACTTCTAACATTTGGACTTACTTGGTTACAGTGATTGCTACTGTGATTAAACCTTCCACTTCTAACATTTCTGTAAGGACATTTGCTGTGTTATACCATAACAACATTTCATGAAAATATTGAAAGCCAAATTAAGAATACAATTGTTCTCCCTACATCTTTTGCGTCTTCATAGTAAGATGATAAATTAATTCAAAATGCCTTTTGAAGTATGCTTTCAGGCAGTTTAGTACAGTTTCTTGTTTTATACTGATTTTTTGCAGATTTCATAAATTAACCTTTAACCTTTTTGTTGTGAGGCACTGGCTTATTTATAAAATAGTGTGCTGTGGGCAAAATCAGTATAAGTTAAATCCTAACATTTCTTCTTCTTTTGGAGTGCAGCACGTACGAGTCACCACATCAAGAGATGAAATAAAGCTTTGAAAATAATTTTTTTCTCTTTTCCTAGAACGACTATCAGACAGTCTGAGGTTGCCTCAGGTTGTGCCTTCTATTCAGGCACAGGTGTTCCTTTGTTTTCGGGTGCTGCTTTCACGAATGTCTCCACAGCATGTTACATCGCTGTGGCCTAATATTATCAGTGAGATGGTACAAGTATTCCTCCATATTGAGCAAGAATTGAGTACTGACACAGAAGAATTTAGGTATGTAGTAATCAGTATATCACATTCACTGTAACATACATTCATGCAAAATCAATTTTTCATTGAATATAAGAAGTTGGAATTGTGTAATAGAACTCTATAATAATTAGGGTCCTGGACTGAGGAATATTTTCATTTAACATTTATTGACTGTGTGGTAATTTATACACAGTCCAGTTTGCCATGCATTGTGCTAGTAAACCACTATAGTGTTAAAAACACCATAGTTTCAGTCTGGCTGGCAGCTCCTTAGTTTCATGGTTTAAATTCTCTGTTCCCATACATTAAAGGTTAATAGTGTTTCCTTGATATCTGGGTTATAAAGTACTTTTATAGAAAGCACGAAACAGTTTCATTCTCAAACTCAGACAGTCGAAGTTTTTGGTTATATCAAATAAAAAAGGCAATCCATTTGAACAATTATTAGCACTTTGGAACCCTTTCAAACAGATCTGTTAGATTCGTAATAATAAACAGACAAATTTTAGCTTCATTGACTAGTAGTCTTTAATATACATCCAGGATTTTATTTTGTTACCTGTTTAGAAAACTGTGTAATGACAGCTACATTTTATTACATAGTTGCAGAACATTTAAGGCATTGGTAAAGATGTTGGTCTGTTCAACATCAGATCTTTTTATGTAAATTAAGTAAGGAACGTACAGTTGGGTGTTGTGAATTTGAATTCATGTGCCCCTTGCTCTAAATGTGATATTGCTTGCAGCTTAAGATAAGTATGTAAGTATAGCAGAAGTGCAGGATACTCTAAATTGCATTCTGCTGTAACAAATAAGTCTATTTATTGTAAGTAATATGGCAGGAATAACTTACTTTAATGTTAAACAATTAAATTTGTGCAGAATTTCAATTTTGTTGTTATTTTTTTCAGTTTCACTGTGAGCCAATATATATTTTTCAAGATTATATTTCTTGTGAAGTTCCTATTTTTGTAAGCACAAAACTATGTCGAATGGTACTGGCATCCTTCTGAACTGATGTGTAACAGTTTATTATTATTATTAGAATTAGAGCTTCAGTCCATTGTTTTCAGTATTGTTTCTAACTGTGTGTGAGCTGTTTTATATAAAAAAATTAAAATTATAGGCACATTACTTTATGCAAAGTCATATTCAGGTTTCTTCAAGAAAAATATGTGATGTATTTTGTTGTGAGATGCAGTGATATTATCACACATGTTTAACTCCAGCCATGTTCCAAGGCTGTTTCTGAATCCAGGATAAATGTTTTGTACAGTAAACAGAGTTCAGGCTTTGGCAGAAGAAGGCTGTAGGAATGTATTAGGTCGTTGCTGCCTCCATCATCGGGGTGATGAGTGGACCTGTGAAATGTTGGTAAACTTCTGCCAGACTATATGCCGCTACAACCCAGGAGACAGCCATTTTCTTTCTTTTTCCCCTCCAGTTAAGACTTTTCTCTCCCTTTGGTTCAAATTTGCATTACAGTCTATAGATTATATTGTAATTTGTAACATTTTTTAGTAGTTTAATATAAGTTACTAACCATGTCCAGTCTTGTTTTAATAACATACTAACATGTGAACATGATTGCAGGGGTTTGTATTTTGAAGTGTTGTTTTTGTCTTGTGTTGTATTGTGTGGGATCATTGTGATATTAATTAAGGTTTTCTTTTTGTTTTTTCTCTTTGCTCCTCACCCTTGTGGGTGAAAATATATCCTTGGTGATGGGAAGTACAGAAGGAACAACAGGTAAATAGAAATCTGAGCATTTGTTTTATTAAAACCCTTCTGATATTTTTTTTTGTATTTTCAAAAATTTGTTTCAGATGCTTAACTCTTTGTATATTGTTCTAACCTCTGTTGCATAATTTATGCATTTCTAGTTTGTATTATTTCCTTCATGAAATAACACGTCCTTATGTTTTACAACAGTACAAGGAAAAATCCTAGTTAAAAAAGACAGAAAAGTTTCAGCCATGCAGTTATATTTCGTTACCTATGTTATGTTTAACATAATTTTTCAAATCCTTCACATTTTGAGTGAGAACTATGAAAAGTCATTTAATTTTGGTGTATGTAATAATGCTGCTGTGGTATTTACTGTGTAAGATGAATTGGAAAAGTAAAGGAAGAAAATAGTTGTGGCCTTATTTAAGGTACTGTTCTCACATTTGCTTGGAGAGACTACAGTAAACCACAAAAAAACCCTCAGGATATCCAATCTCTTGGTTGAGATTTGAAGCTCGGACCTCCCAGATATGAAGCAAGAGTAATGACCATGATATCCTTCTTGGTCTTAATTGATTATCTTAACTTGTCCTCATTCTCATAGTACTTTCAACCCTTCTAAACGATTTCTTACCGAGTATAACACTACTGTTTTACAGCTAAACAATTTAGGGTAAAAATGCATAAATTATGCAAGTAAATATGTTCACAACATCTTTCTGTTACTGATGATTGGATTTTTATTATGGGGGGTGATGAATTATTGGTATGTCCATTGTAACTAGCTTTCTTGGTGGCTGTACATTGATTGTTGCTGATATGACTAACCTTAGCTTGGATCCTTCATGCAAAAGGTAAGTTTTTTGAGCTTTGCTTCCACTCCTGCTGCAATCATTTTACACTTTGCACAATTAACAGTTTATAAAACTAATGCTGATATGGTGCAGATTTTAATCACTTGGATTTAACACATTTAAACTGTATGTCCCATTTGAAACTACAAAGTCTGCCATGTATTGATATAATAAAATACTTAATTCTGTGTGTTATGGAATTATCCATGAAATAGTACTTTATTATTGTTAGTCAAGAAAGTAGATTAATACTCAGCTGTTTTATTTTGAAAATATTTTGTGTCATTCATAGCTGCAATTATATAAATACTGTGAAATTACAGGATTGAGGTGAAATCTTGTTAAGTGATTTACACCTGAGTATTACAATAAATTCCTTTCATAGGTAAAAGTGAATGCACTGTAATGACTCCCTGTAGATTTATTAATTATACTGATTATATTGGGCTCTAATTCTGTACTGATTTTTGCATCTTTATTAACACATTCCCTGCCAAAGTGTACTTACGTTGATTAAGTGGAGAAGCTGTAATTCTGTCATAGTTCATGTAAGTCAGTTTTGTGCAACTGTCTTTATAAGCTGAATAAGACAGAAAAATTGCATCACCAATGGATAGAGTTGCTTGAAGGGTAATTTAAATCACTAGACACTTACCAAATGTCTGGTATTTTTCTCTTGCCTTACTCCCCCTCCCCCCCCCCACTCACCTCTTTCTCCCTATATTTATTGTGCACTTCTCTTTATTTATGTGCGGTAACAAGGCAGGTCATGGCTGTGATATGGCAAGTGTGCATTGCCTTTCTGTGAGTTCACTGTCCTTCAGTAGGCCGTATTGCCCTTGTGTAGGAGTTGATTTCCATAAAGGTACAGTCATGAAAGTGAGAAGACAAAAGTTTCTTTAATTTTGGAGTTCCTTGGTACCCTGAAGGTGCTGGTCTATACTCTATACTATACCCTCAAAAGGTAAAATAAAATTTTATTTTCTCCCTCTCCTAACTTTGTGATTCATTCTCCTCTTCCGCAGAGAGCAAAGTCCTACTGAGGGGTTTTAAACCCTGTCATTTAAAGTAAGTCCTGAATTCACATGGCCAACAGTGAATGTGTTGAAACAGCTGACACTCACAGAGTTTATATCTCTGTGAAAGTAATTGAGGTATATTTTTTTTAATTGCTTAAGGTCTCCTGTGAATATTGTAGTGAAGAAATGTATGCATAGAAGTTTGTTTTCAGCTCTCATATCCGTCTGCTGTCAGCACTGGACTCGTCCTGGGTTGTAAATAGTAACAATGGACTTCATGCTCATGGGCATCCCCATTGGCTCCAACTTCAGTTAGCAGCAGCCAAACTTCTAGATATGGCTGTACTTCTACCTGCACATCGGCTGCCCCAGTTTCAAATGTAAGAAACATATAGCATCAGATTGTGTTACTTTATATATGTGGATTTAAGACAGTGTTCTGTAGTTCAGGTATTTACACATTAAAAACATGTAAAGAGGTTAGTTATGGAAAAGGATGTATTCATAAACATTTATCTTGGTAATATATTTTAATGTAGCTTCTCAGTCATTACTTCATTTGGCATAACTTTATCACCAAAAACATTTCTGTGTGATCACTTAATAGGTAAGGAAAATCCTTCTACATTTTCTCCTGGTGTTTATGGCTTGTCAATGTTGTTCTTTGTTGTGATGTCATGTGGTCTTGTAGGTAGATACTTATGTGTTCCTCAGAAATCTTGGCCCTCACAGCATCAGAACCCTTAAGAACAATGTGGAAACCTCAGATCTCAGTATAGCTTTTAACTGTTTTCTTTCTGTGTGTCTAAATGTAGTAAAATGTTTTATGTATAGAAAAAGCACACTTTTACATTATAGAGTAAATTACGGACACAAGACACAGTGGTTATAGGCATTGTTTGTGGAGTTCAGGATTGAGATGAAAATGAATATACTAAAAATCATATTACAGTTGAACTCCTTTCGTTTGGTGTCCTTGAGATATTGGCTGCTCCATTCTGCAGAATTGTCTGTAGCATTACTCTTATGAAATTAAAAACATTATGCAGGGGATTGAATTTTATTATTGTGCTTACCAAACATCATGGTTGAGCGGTTAACATTTCTGCTTCGTATTCAGCAGGTCCCGGGTTCAAATCTCGGTCTGGAGACCGACTATCCTGACTGGGGTTTTTTGTAGTTTACCTCAGTCCTTCCAGGCAAATGCTGGGATATTCCCTCAAATTAAACCATGACTTCTTCCTTCCACATCCTTTCCAATTCAATATCATCTTCTCATTCAACATTATATATTCTGAGCTACTGAAAATCGTCGTTAAATAAACTATAAATAATTAAGTAAAAACTATTGCATTTGTAGATAAAGCATAACAAACAGTGCAGGTTATATTGAATACACATATATAAATAAATACTGTTTTGGCTCCCATTTCTATAATTTTGTGACTTAGCAAGGTGGGAGTCCAGGGCACCATCATTCCAGAGCAGCTATTTGGCTGCTGCAGTGAATCACAGAGCCTTTCCAGGTCCTCTTTTCTCAAGAATTTTCTTGAATGTTTCTGGTCCATAGAGTACTGAACTTTTGGATTTTAAGCATATAATGCTTGTTATCTTACTTACGTTTTTATGTTTTATAGGTATCGTTGGGCGTTTGTGGGTGCTGCTCAACCTACTAGTCTTAATAACAATCATTCGGAAGATGAAATTCCTCATTCTCCTGATTTTGTACCCCATGTGATGAGGATAGCTCGCCTCATGGACCAAAAGGTGCATTAGTGTTTACAGTAACTGTAGAATTGACTAAAAGTAAGCTGATGTAAAAGTAAAATATTACTGTGTTTGCTGTTTTTGGCTATAAGTTTGTTGGTATGAATGTACCCTCTTTTTAAGTTAAGAGATTGTAACACAGTAATCTGTTCATTAAGTTCCAGAGATCAGTGCCAGCCTCACCACGATCTCCTGGCAAATTGCTGCTGGTCACACCCAGTATCAAGACCCTGCAAGAACTTCACTTGTTCTTCACAGCTCTCAGTGTTTACTCCCCCTCAGTAACAATAGCAGATTGTGGACAGGGCAAGTCAGTCAGTTTGAGCGAACTTGAGGCAGTCATAGAAAGAGATTTTCTGGAGAAACTACCTACAAGATAATGGAGAAGAGCTTGTAGGAATCAGGTAGGAAGGTTTTTAACCCCTGGTAATGTAGATACTGTAATTATATCTAGCTAATTAATAAGTCAGGATATTATAAAGACAGATCTTATTCTGCTGGTGTATGAAGTTAGTAATGCAGTATTTGTTTGATTGTTAAGGCAATGAAAAGCTCACCAACTTACAATTACTATAAGCTGAAGTAAATGAAAGTTCTTATTAGGAGTGTAATTCATGGATGGGCTGGGATTGTAAAAAAATGTATACTTGAAATTTCCTTAAATTAGACAGTTTGGTATCAGGAATGTGAATTTATTGTATGGACAAACATAACGCTGTTTCCTTGTATAAACTGTATCATTCAGGGATAAGACTCTGTCTTCATGGATTGAGAAGAATTTTTTATATAATGTAGACATGGAAGTTAAGTGCTATGCAGGGAAAGTGGAAGTTATTGCAGTGTGAAATATAAACAGGTCTAGATTAATTTCCAGTTGTTATAAATATTATATGACACTTTGGAAATATTCAGATTGTAACTATAAGAAAACTGCCAGTTTTTCTTTTTTAAAAGAAATTAAAGACATGATTTTGAAAGTATGAACTTCTCATTATCATATATTATAAAAAAATTTAAAGAGAAATGGCATCCAGAACTAACTGTGTGTGTTCTTCCCACAGTTGTATTTTATCCATTTCAGTGTTTTAAGCTTCATTTGTGGAGATTAAATTTTAGAGTCAGTGTTTTGGTATTAACTGTATAAGGTATGATGTTTGAAATTTTAAAAGTTAAGTTGATAGTTAATGGATTCAAAAGATTAACATTAAACTATAAATAACATACAGAATATTGTCCTCATTAGTTATTTATCATGATTTAGAAATTATTGTAGCAAATACAGAATTTTTACCCACGGTGAAACAGAAGTAGTTTGGATTTTATAGTTGAAATTAATAATTAATTTCAACTAAAACATGTGGTCTGTTAATCATTGATTGCAAATGCTTGTTTTTTAATCATGAGTACATGATGACTGGAACATGTGTAATTTATTTCTGTCCTGGTATCTATTGGTCTTGTTTGGTTCCTAAAGAATTTAGATCTGCCTTTCTTATATGTTAAAACAATTGAGTCCAGAACCAGCTGTAATTTACAGTCAACACTCTCCATGTTTTTTAAACATATCTGTATTTTAATCCTCATAAGTGTTGTGTTATATTCCCATTATCAGTTGCTGCTGAAATGTTTACACCTTTTACAGAAAAGTAGGATTTTATGGTTTGTATTGCTCTTACTATTTGAAGTTAATATGTACAAACTGTAACTCTGATAGTCACCCGTACTAAATTTCATCACATGGGTTGCATTCCTGTGATTGTTGCATATATCGGAAACACGTAAAACAGGAAAAGTATAACATGCTTTCCTGAAAGTGCAATGTTCTAACACTTCAGGATTAATTAACTTTTCATACATATTAAGACATGCGGCCTTTGTAGCAGCTTCTACTGTGGCCACAAATAGGATATTGATGCTTTTCATGATATTGAAAAAACTGAATCCATGAAAATGTGGATAAACACATGTTTAATGAGTATCACCTGTATTACAGAATTTTAAATATGTTGAATTTCCATGGAACATACATATGATTACTGTAACAACATTAAGATTTTCAGTAATCAAAAGTTTTGAATATACGAGGGTCGCTCATTAAGTAATGCCCCACATTTTTTTCCTCAGAACATATTTATTCAAGATAGCTCAAATTTAGTGACAATATAAATCAATGTTTCCTTTACACATACTATTTTTCCACATAGTCCCCATCAACTTGTACGGTTTTACGCCAGCGTGGAACAAGTGCATGCATGCCTTGCCGGTACCAGCTCTTGTCCTGTGCACGTAGCCATGTCCTCACTGCTTGAATCACGCTCTCGTCATCTTCAAATCTTGTTCCGCGGATAGCATCTTTAAGGGGCCCAAAGAGATGGAAGTCGGAGGGTGCCAGATCTGGACTGTAGGGGGGATGGGGTAGCACCGTCCAACCCAATTTGGTGATTTCTTCCCGGGTTCTCAGACTTGTGTGAGGGCGTGCATTGTCGTGCAGGAGCAAAATTTCTGCTGGATGCTTGTGAGGCCAAACTCGTCGAAAACGCTTCTTGAGGGTTTTCAGGGTCCTGATGTACGCGTCTGAATTGATGGTCGCACCTCTTGGCATCACATCCACAAGAATGACCCCATCACTGTCCCAAAAGACAGTCATCATGACTTTTCCGGCGGAGGGAGTTGACTTGAATTTCTTCTTTCTCGGTGATTGAGGATGATGCCACTCCATTGACTGCCTTTTTGTCTCTGGCTCAAAGTGGTGTATCCAGGTTTCGTCACCTGTAATGATCCGGGACAGAAAGACCTCTCCCTCAGCATCAAAACGCTCCAACAATTCAGAAGAAATCGTTTTCCTTTGAATCCTGTGGTCTGCTGTGAGACTTCGTGGAACCCATCTTGCGCACACCTTCGAATATGCAAGAGCCCGGATAATTGCAATTACACTTCCATTGCGGACTGAAAGCTGTTGGGCCAATTGTCGAGTTGTGATGCGCCGATCCTCACGAATAATGGCATCCGCGCGGTTCAACATGTCTGGAGTGGTGGCTGTGGCAGGACGCCCAGAGCGCGGCAGATCACGGAGCTCGGTTTCTTCACTTCCTGAAGCTTTAACTCTCTTAGCCCAGCGACCAACGGTGCTCCTATCGACTGCACAGCTTCCATACACAGCACACAAACGTTTATGAATGTTCACCACCGTTTCTTTTTCAGCAACAAGGAATTCAATTACAGCTCGTTGCTTGTAACGAGAGTCGTTCACAGACGCCATTTTAACAGTTCACTACAGCTCCGCTATCGGTTGGAATCATTTGAAACTCCGTACACGAACGCGGGAAACATCAAATCTCAAGCATGTAAAAGTGCACTTTTCTATCTTCATTATTGGCTGAGAAAAAAAATGTGGGGCATTACTTAATGAGCGACCCTCGTAAGAAGTGAACCACATATGTAAACTTTCATATTCAAATGTTACTACCTTTCAATACCTGAGTGACACTTTTCATAGTCTGAATTCAGGTTTTGTAGCTCACATATTCACATGATCAAGTCATAGAACACGTAACAGAATTGTGCTCCTTGGCTGTTATGTATACCCCCTTGCAGAACAGTACCAGTATCACTAATGCCATAAGCACAAGTAGGATGGCATGCAGTAAAATACCAATATTTTAGCCAAGCAGTTACTCATTTACTCGGCAGTGTAATTCTGTTACAAACAAAATACTATTTATAAAAAGTAATTATTATTAATACATATTATATGTGAAAGCCATCATATATTTTTAGTGCCTGATTTTAATAATCCACACAGTTCCAACATTTGAACGCTGGTTTTTTTTAATCAAAATGCATGTTACTGAAGAGAGAGTGAAAGGTAGGGGCATTAAAATGGCAATATATTTTCCCCTTTCTGTCTTATCTTGCACATTCTGTCAGATGATTGGCTTTTCTATTCCACAAGTCATTAGTCTGGAGTTGAATGACTCTTGAATTGTCTTGTGACAAATATGTTCAGTGGTATGGAGTAGAAGTAAAATGTCCCTTTTGTTGACAGTGTTTATAAAGAAGTAACAATTGTCTTATGCCAGTGCCTTATATTTTGGTAATTTGTGTACATTTCATTCAGCATACATATGTGCTGTCCTAATATCATTCTTCAGATATAAATGCTTTAGAATGTTTTTAAAGGTATAAACTACTCGGAAGTAGCCTTTCAGTTTAGTTGTTTTTATAACAATATACTGCATTATTACATCCCTAAACATTGTTATTTGTAATGATCCAACTTACTTTTGATAAGGCGTGTTTTGCTAGTGCTTTGCCTACATCCATCCATTCATTTCACCATCTACATGCATGGTAGCTCAATATAAAGTTAGCAAAGTGTGCAGTTTAAATCACTTTTATTTTTTATGACCATTGTCTCAAACACATCGTTTGAAGATGGTGTACATAATGTAAAATGTTAAATGATACAACTTTGCCTCAAATTATTTTAGGATTTATCACTTAAGCATGTAAAAATCTATTATGGCAGGACAGATGAATTAAGTTCAAGATGGAACAGGCTGCAGGGTAGTATTAAGGTCTTTATGTAAATTGGCAGTTTGTACAAGAGTTGGGTGACATTTTCATAAATATCTGTTCAGAGTGGTAATATTACAGGCATCTGGATGGATTGATAAGTAATGCTCATACCATGTTATAAAAAACACACAAATCAGATCATCTAAGTAAAGATGGTGAGTATAAGTGCATTAGATGTTTGCAGTTACCATATTGATTCTGCCCAACAGCAAGATATTGAAAATAATGGGACAGGCTTTTTTATACCCTTTAAAACTTATGTGCAAGATTTGGTTCATTTCAACCTTGGATAGAAAGTTACTGATAAACAGAAAACTACTGTGATGACAAAGAACTTGTTTGGAGTTCGGTAAAAAGGAAGTGAATGTTTGGTATACATCTTCTTTCTTTTTCCTCTCTCTTAGAGTTTGTTCCTTTATTCCTAGTTTACTCTTCAATAATTTCAGTACTTGGGAGGCTAAAGTCCACCCCGGGCTGTAGTGCCAGAAAAGAAGAAGAAGAATTTCATTACTTGCATATTCATACTAATCTGAATCACCTTTTGCTATTTTAGATTTGTTACTTTTTATCAGTATTGTACACAAACTTTACTCATACTTTGGTTAGAATTGTCATGCATTTTTTCTTGGGTTGTGCTACATAATCAAATTATCATATAGCTTGAGTGTGATATATATTTTTAGATTGGGATGTGTAACATTCCTTCACCTTTCATGGTGCACAGATTCTGTTGAGGTAATGTTCATATTTAAAGTGGGGAGATTAAAATAATTTTAGTGTTATCATTTATATATATGTGTGTGTGTTTGCTATTTTAAGATGTAGTCAAATGTGTTGTGGAAACAGTAATATACTATTTGAGTGCTTTAGCATTGTAACCAACATGATGAATGTAATTCATTCAAAGAATGTGAATTATAATATGAGGGACCTGTAGCTTGAAGTTGTGGAGACCAAAAGAAGAGATTTCACTGAATCATAGCAGGATATACTGGTACTATACTTTACTGTTGTAACATGTTCAGAAACCAGCCATGTAAGAGAATGAATATTGTAGCAGAAAATGACACTGAAGATTCTGAAAATTGAAGATTTTGATTGTAGTATACATGACAAAGAAGCTCCTAAGAGCTAATTTGCCTAATAATAGTTGTCAAATAGATACATAGATGAAAGTGAAATGTGAAAATATACATCTTTTTTGTCTCCACTTCCATTTGATCTATTTTTATAAAGCTATATATACAAACGTTACAGCATTATTCCACTATTTAGGTACAAAATATTGTTTATATATGTAATATTACACTTTGTATTATGGTGTTAGCAGAAACAAATATAATTTTTAAAATGTGCTGAAAAGAGGTTGAGTTTGTCTGAAAAATGCATGTTATATGTAAGGATGTCAAAATACATGTATAAAATGTTATTTTATTCATCTTTTAAGTTCTTTAAAATGGGTGAATTAACTAGCTGAATGGACTTATGCATTCATGAGAAATGAGTACCAGTGCATCAGTTTCATCTGTAAAAATTGGAATTTTGAATTTCAAATTAAAAGTAATTGAATAAAGATTTAATGTGTGTGTATGACGTGCACATGGCATTCTGTTCACAGCATATTAAAATTTCAGATAAATCTTTTATCACACATTTTAAAGGTTATATTTTTTCTTCAATCAATATATTAGACTTATTTATGATTCCTTTTTTATATTCATAAATGTGCTCCTCTGTGTTGTAAGATATATTTAAGAATATTCAGTGAATATAAAAAAAATGTCAAAGGATTTAACACATAAAATCACTAGACATATATTAATTGTTAAGTGATAATCTGAATGACATTTTAATGTGTGTATACTTTGTTAATCTAGTCCAAGGTCATTTTTATTGGTATGTTCAGCTTCTGAACAGCAGCTTTGTCAGACATAGTAGCCAATAATCAAATAGGATCAAGAGGTAAGTAACAAAACCAGACTCAGCGAGAGGGCAGGACTATAATAAATGTTACCAACTGTTTTCACATTCATGTATAAATGAGTCAAAGGAATGTGTTTGGATTGTTAATTTTATTTTACTTCCTATTGTAACGTATCCTTCTTCCTTCATTCATTATAAATTTTATTACATATATAAATACACAGGAAGGCACAGAACTCACCTCTACTCATCTGTTTTCTTCTCTTAACTGTGTATATGAAGTTAAATTAATTCCATTCATTTCTGTATCATCATGGTTTGCATGGAATGGTCAAAAGCTCTGATAGTTATGTTTAATATTGAAATGCATGTTATATATAACCATACTATAAAGAAAACTCTCAGAAGTAAGGACAATAGTCATTACCAAAATCATGCCAGTGGATTGAAGTTTCCAGTGTTTTTAAATGGATATGTCACGGCCAATTAAGTTCTATATTTTCTACATGGTGTTTTGGCAAATTCATATGAAAATTAACAGCTGCAAATAATGAAATTCCTGTATTATTATGAATGACTCTTACATGCTGTGCAAGGTGAGATGGAGCACATCCAGTTTAGATGAATCGCCTGTTAATTCAGAAGTAGGAATCATTGTTACACAAGAGAATTTAACATTTTATAATCAATTTATATTAATACATGTATGAATTTTGAAACATTGACTTACAAAATGATGGAGGAGAATTGTCTGTTTCATCTGAGCAACTTGCTGTTCAATAAGTAAGCTTGACAACTGTACTTATCAACACAGTTTGACAGTTCCATATTGCAGGTCTGAATGTTTTAAATAAGGCTCTAGAGTGTATTAATTGGCTATATTATTTTACTAAGCCTAATGAAATTTTAAATTTCTGTAGCTTTAGTATATACAACTCTCTTAAGAGTCTGAAAATAAATGTGAAAAACTGGCATAAAAAGGACAAAGATTTATATGCAATTTTCTTAAAAGTTGTGATTATACAAATTATTTTATTTTATACATACCTACCTTATGGATTAATTGTTCAATGTGATAATGTAATTAAATCAAACTTATTCATGGTACACACTTAATATTCACATCTGTAATATCTAAATCTTGTGCCAGACTGCATGGGACTATAACCCAGAAGACAGCCATCTTTGTACTCACCGCCATGAGAACCTAAAATCCTACTATAAATTTGTTTATGCAAGACTTGGTTTCATCAGCACATAAAAGCTCCTTTATTAGTAAATTGCATTGAATTAAAACATCTGTTATAATACAGTAATATAATAATTAACACACACTTATGGAAAAACATATTGTACAATATTTAGAAATTAATAAATATGACAGAAAGGCATGTTACAAAGACACTGCCATACCTTGAAATAACTACCATACAGTCAAGTACATATTTTATTTACATTGAATTACCTTCAAAAGTGCAGTACATAAATCAGCATCTAATTTTACTTCATATAATAATTTGTTTCCCTTTACACATTCACAGCCATTCCAAGAGTCTTGTGTTCAAACTTATCCCATGCTGTCACTCCTCGGATGGCTCCTTCCTTGTTATCAGCATAGATGTCAGTTGTCAATTCTTCCAGTCCAATCTCCTTGTCAGCCTTTGCCTTCTTCACATCCTCATCCACTGCAGCGCGGATTTTATTCTCCAATATCTGAAGGCAAGAATAGAAAATATAAACCAGAACTTAGCTGTATAAATGCTTTAAAACTCTGGATAAAATATGCACATTATTCTTACACTAGTGAAGAGGAATATTGCATTATTTCATAGAAAAGTATGTTATTTGCATGTTTACATGAATTATTTGCATACAGCATTTTATTATATGGAAATACTGTTACTCCACAATCTGCAGTAGACAGCAATACTATAGATGAAACATTTTTATTAAAGTTATACTGAGAACATCACATATGAAATTATAGTTTTGGACCACTTTTGCTAATCAGAGCTGACAATGTACTTGAAAAATTAAACAAATGTTTGTTTGTCTCATTATATATTTACTAAATGAAAAATATATTTCAAACAAAAGTGTCAGCAACAAGCAAAAGCGTAATTTTTAAAATTATATTAAACAAACATAAAATTAAGGATTTTCACAATGACAGAAGACTGTCAAGAACAGTTTTTGAGGTACTTATATTTCTGTCTAAAAAATGAACATTAGAAAATACAAGTAACTCATTCAGCAGCATCTTCAGTTTCAGACCCGGCTCATTTTCTTGGATCTCCCTTATGGCAAATTCTGGAGCAAACCTATTGATGCATACCTTAATTTCTTCAGCAGTAGCTAATTCTGCTGCTATGATCTTCTCTTTAAAAGATGTAACAGGATCTCTTGTCTGTCGAACTTCCTGAATCTCTTCTCTTGTCCTGTAACTTGTTCCAGGATCTGACATAGAATGTCCACTATAACGGTAAGTGGCCATTTCCAGGAGAATGGGGCCTTTACCACTTGTACAATAATCAATGGAGTACTTAGTTGCTTCTCTTACAGCCAGTACATCCATACCATCAACCTAAAATTAAGAAACAGTCAAGCAGTTATGTATGACCCAATATGACATGACGTACAAAAGGCATCACAGTTGTAATCTTTCTAATACTTACTTTTTGTAGCAAATAATTTATAGAGAGTAACAATACAGAACATTTTAAAGGCAGATTTGGGGGGGGGAGTGAAAGGAATAAGAAAGTATTACAAGTACAAACTTCATCAAAGCAATGTATATAAAATATAAAATCTAGGCAAGGAAAAGTTATTGTTTTGAGAAATCTTGCATTCAAATCCAATTTTAGGATGACACAAAACTCATAAAATTAAATGTAAATTCCTTTGCAATGTTACAAAGTCAACAGCAGAAGATAGGACTACTGCTTTTGCTGCCAAAAATCCAGTAACATTAAATACTACATTCCACAAACAAAATTTCTGCTGATTTTAATAGCAGAAAGCATGAAAGACCTAGTATTTTTCAGAGAGTTAGAAATGTGTAACTATAGACAGAAATTGTGAACATTTCCCAGAGTTAGTATATGCAACACCTTACATAGTTCTTCACTGACATTTTAAGAAAAAAAAACAATAATAATGCCAATATATATGTGATATTTAAAATAAAAACATTACCCATATTCCTGGTACATAATCGCCTCGGGTGTAATAGGCTGTACTTGCAGAAGCCCTCTCGACACTGGTTCCCATACCATAACCATTGTTCTCACATACAAATATGCAAGGAACATCCCATAATTTTGCCATGTTGTATACTTCGTACACTTGACCTTGGTTTGCAGCCCCATCACCATACAGAGCTACACAAACTCCATCTGTGCCACTGTATTTTGAAGCAAATGCAATTCCTACACCTAAAGGAACCTGAAATAGTCACAAAACAGAGTTCAATTCTCCAATTTCAGCATTAATAAGCACACCATATTAAAGCTGAGATGATTTGCAAGCTGAATCTGAGGAAAGAAAATGCAAAATGGAAACCCATGGATTTCAGTCTGCATTGTTGTGTTTTTAGCATTTAACAGATCTTTCTTATTTTCAGGTTTTTGCACACAAATTTTTCAGTGGCCACTAAATTCTGTCCTACATTCCCTCTGCCAGATCCTCTCAAATTAGATCAGACTTGGAACTCGGAGGAGCACTTCTGCAATGAGTGAGTTGTAGATTTACTAATGCAATTATCAAATGTAGAGATCATTTTGTAACATCATTCTCAAATCATGAATGACAAATTGGGAGGTACAGTAGGCAAAGCTGTCATGAACTACTTTCTGGCATTACCCTGGAATTAGCCTATC